GAAGAATGGCAGATAATTGCAAAATGCTGATGAGTAAAGCTTGTCGCATCAAACAAAAAAAGACTTGAGACTTTAAAGGTGCTTCAGCGAAATCCAACATCAGTAGTATGAGTACTTATGCAATATACTTATTTCAGTTTTTTTTTTTTTTTTATAAATTTACGAAGTTGTGACAATTCTGTTTTTGCTTTGTCAGTATGGTGTATGGCGTGTAGATTGATGTGGAAAAAAAGTAATTTAAAGCAGTTTATCATAAGGCGCCAACATAACAAAATGTAAAAAAAAATGAAGGGGTATGATTACTTTCGCAAGGCACTGTATATACACACACACACACTTAATTATTTAATTTAAAATTGTAAATGGATATTTGAACATTTAATGACTACAGAATTAGAAGATGAGAAAATATTCTTTTAAAACTGTTTTTATTTATTTTTATTTTTATTTTTTATCCAACTTATGATTCCATTTTTGCTAGAAATAAGCAGTTTCTGTAATTATGCAATTATTAAACACTTATTTGTTCTAGATCATTAAATCTGACGTTATGGTGCCTTTAAAGCCATTCTAAAAGCAATTTACTGGCTGAAAAGACCAGCATGTATTCCCCTTCAAGTTTAGACTATGAACTAGTTTATGCTGGTCTAGTCATGTTCTTCACTAACCAATCTCACCTGGTGAATCTGGTTGGCCAAAGAAACCTTGCTGGTAGAAAAACCATAATTAAACATAAAAATTTAATAAAAAATTAAATATATATATTTTTCAACTTCCATTTCAGTCAATCCTGTATATACACACACACACACTTAATTATTTAATTTAAAATTGTAAATGGATATTTGAACATTTAATGACTACAGAATTAGAAGATGAGAAAATATTTTATTTATTTTTATTTTCATTTTTTATCCAACTTATAATTCCATTTTTGCTAGAAATAAGCAGTTTCTGTAATTATGCAATTATTAAACACTTATTTGTTCTAGATCATTAAATCTGACGTTATGGTGCCTTTAAAGCCATTCTAAAAGCAATTTACTGGCTGAAAAGACCAGCATGTATTCCCCTTCAAGTTTAGACTATGAACTAGTTTATGCTGGTCTAGTCATGTTCTTCACTAACCAATCTCACCTGGTGAATCTGGTTGGCCAAAGAAACCTTGCTGGTAGAAAAACCATAATTAAACATAAAAATTTAATAAAAAATTAAATATATATATTTTTCAACTTCCATTTCAGTCAATCAGTTAGCACTGTAGTCATTAAATATCCATTAAATATTAAAATAAATATTAAAAAGTGTTTATTTTTAATGAATATTTAGTGACTACAATGATTATTAAAATGGTCCCAATAATATGTGTACACATCATTTAATTTACATTTTTTAATGGATATTTGAACATTTAATGACTACAGAATTAGAAGATGAAAAAAATATTCTTATGTTTTTTTTATTTATTTAACTTCTGATTCCATTTTTCTCCGAAATAAGCAGTTTCTGTAATTATGTAATTATTAAACACTCATTTGTTCTAGATCATTAAATCTGACATTAAGGTGCTTTTAAAGCCAGTCTGATAGCAATTTATGCAATTAATGGCTGAAAAGACCAGCATGTATTCCCATTCAAGTTTAGACTGGTTTATTTTGGTCTAGTCAAGTTGATTACCAACAAAACTCAGTTGGTGATGCTGGTTGCCCAAAACGTTTTGCTGGTAGAGAAACCAGCATCCACAACACATTAGAGGTCCTTTCAACCATCTAAAAAACAGCTTAAACTAGTCTAAGGTGGTTAGTTGGTCTCCCAGCCTGGGCAAGATGGTTAAGCTGGTCTATTTTGATAGTTCTGAGTGGGTTTAGGCACCAGAGAAACACCAGCTTGGACAACCAAATAAACCATCTTAAAGCCAGACAAGAACAGCAAACCACTGTAGGCTGGTTTAGGCTGTTTATGTTATCAGGTTTTGATTCATTTTTCAACTTAAAAGGGACAAAAATGTGAAAATGGCTTCAAATATGTCTGTTTTTGTGTAATATAACATCATGTTTTGTTCCAACAGGAGAACTGTGCGTGAGATAGTGTGTGTGACGCCACCCTCAGCATCAGGTTCTGGTACTTCATCCGTCAAGCTGTTCATTGACAAGGCCGAAGTCACCAGCGTTACGCATTACATTTACACCGAAGATCCAACCATTTCCAGCGTGGAGCCCAACTGGAGCATCATTAAGTACGTTAACACAATCTCACACATGCTTAATAACTCTGTTCCAAACCCTAGAGAGATTCCTCACTGCCTGCTGTCTACACAGGCTAATATGTCTCGCTAACTTCAAAGACAGCATCCAAAGCCTAATAGAATTTCAGAAATGAATGAATTGAAATGCTCCACGTGGGCAGAAACTCACTCACGGCTGTTTCCAATAGAGAGTTAGCATATGCCAATGACTCTGTAAGTCTGATTAGCACAAAGATACAGATATATAGCAAATTAAAATAGTTTATTTTTAGTGTGATGAAATAGAAACAAGAAATATAGTCGGCCCACCATCTGAAAATAGAATTGGTGCAGTGCTTATTTCAAAATTTTGCTGCTTACTGTTCACTAGAACCTAAATTCTGACTCGCTAGCAATAGACCAGTCATATAGTCACTCGATTTGAGGTATGAAACGAGTATCTGTCATCTAATTGAAGTGTTGTTTGTTTGTTTGTTCTGATAGTGGCAGCACCACCCTCACGGTCACAGGAACCAATCTGCTAACCATTCAGGAACCCAAAGTCCGAGCCAAATATGGAGGAGTGGAGACCACAAACGTGAGTTCCCCACCAGCTGTCCTTCTCATCTCTGCCCCCACCAGCATTAAGAACAGCTTGTTGTTTACGTGATAAGAACTCATGTCTGGATGTTCCTCTGTAGGTTTGTACGTTGGTGAATGACTCTGTCATGACTTGCTTGGCTCCGGGCATCATCTACACCAAACGCCAGGTTCCAGATTGCGGAGTTCATCCGGATGAGTTCGGCTTCATCCTGGACCATGTGTCCGCCCTCCTCATCCTCAATGGAACTCCTTTCACATACTATCCAAACCCCACCTTTGATCCCCTTGGGAATGCTGGGATTCTGGAGGTCAAACCAGGATCGCCCATCATCTTGAAGGCATGACCTTTGTCATAATCTCATCATCCTGTATTTAAATGTTTTCAATTTGCATTTTGATGAATTTCATGAAAAAATGTCATATTTTGCTCTAAAATATTTTGTTCCCAAAATGCAGAATTATACATATTTATTATGCAATAAAAAGACCACTAAGAACTTTTTTTATTAAATTAGGATTTCTTTTTTTAATAATGCAAATAAAAAATTCCCAAATTCTCATGTCATCCTTCTCATCTCTGCCCCCACCAGCATTAAAAACAGCTTGTTGTTTACGTGATAAGAACTCATGTCTGGATGTTCCTCTGTAGGTTTGTACGTTGGTGAATGACTCTGTCATGACGTGCTTGGCTCCGGGCATCATCTACACCAAACGCCAGGTTCTACATTTCATGACAATTTTCATGACATTTAAATTCTGCACATCAAATTATGTTGATCATTTTTGGTAAATTAATTTTTCTGTGCTTTCATCTGTAAACAGGGCAAGAACCTCATGCCTCCTGCTCCTGGCAACGCCCGCCTGAATTACAGCGTGATGATTGGAGAAACGCCCTGTCTGTTAACCGTCTCGGAATCTCAGCTGCTCTGTGATTCACCGGATCTGACCGGAGAACAGCGAGTGATGGTGACGGAGTTCATCCGGATGAGTTCGGCTTCATCCTGGACCATGTGTCCGCCCTCCTCATCCTCAATGGAACTCCTTTCACATACTATCCAAACCCGACCTTCGACCCCCTTGGGAATGCTGGGATTCTGGAGGTCAAACCAGGATCGCCCATCATCTTGAAGGCATGACCTTTGTCATAATCTCATCATCCTGTATTTAAATGTTTTCAATTTGCATTTTGATGAATTTCATGAAAAAATGTCATATTTTGCTCTAAAATATTTTGTTCCCAAAATGCAGAATTATACATATTTATTATGCAATAAAAAGACCACTAAGAACTTTTTTTATTAAATTAGGATTTCTTTTTTTAATAATGCAAATAAAAAATTCCCAAATTCTCATGTCATTTTTTTTTTTAAGTTTACTTACATTAAAATGAGTAATACACTAAATGCTACCAGAGTGTTTACCTATACTTTACAAATGTACTTAACAATTTAAACTATTTTTACTGCATAACAAAATTGTAAATTTAAACATAAACTAAATTGTAATAAAAAAAAAGTCATAATACTAAAAATCTGAATGTTCTTAAACATTTTAAATTTAAAATATAGTATTCTTTTTTAAATGCTTTATTTTGAAAATATTTAACATAAAAAAATATAAAATAATTATTTCATGCATATATATTCACATATTTATACATGAAAATTATATATAATATATACATATTTTATTGTATATATATATATATATATATATATATATTACATTTCATGACAATTTTCATGACATTTAAATTCTGCACATCAAATTATGTTGATCATTTTTGGTAAATTAATTTTTCTGTGCTTTCATCTGTAAACAGGGCAAGAACCTCATGCCTCCTGCTCCTGGCAACGCCCGCCTGAATTACAGCGTGATGATTGGAGAAACGCCCTGTCTGTTAACAGTCTCTGAATCTCAGCTGCTCTGTGATTCGCCGGATCTGACCGGAGAACAGCGAGTGATGGTGAGGATCATGCAGCTATGACATTTCCCCATTATGCATTATATACAGCTAATCTATAAGGAGCCTCTCGTGCAGCTGAAGAGCAAAACATGCTCACCTCTAGTTGCACTGACTGAGAATTTACGGCTCCTTATTTATTGTATATCAACCAATAAAGGTGGCAGAAAATGAATGGATGGCTGTAAGATGGCGAAAATGCTGAATGTTTGGTTTGCATGGACTCGGGCATTGTGCCTCTCATTTAATCAATCTCATAATAAGCCACTGCCGCGTGGCCATTTTTTACCTTAATGCTAAAACGGAAAGCATAAAGGTCAACTGGAAGTGGCTCGCCGTACATTAAGTACTTATTAGGATTATAGGGAGCGCTGATACAAGCAGTTTCCCACGTAATCTAGCTATCTGCTCTCCCGGCAGCTCAAACAATTATTACAAACAGCAGACAGGAATCCTTCATAACCTTCCTGAGCCCTGACATATGCTTAGAAAGAGCATTTGAGACATGTTCAGCCCCCTTTATTGATAATAACGGCTTTCAGTAATGGTCATTGCTCAGGAAAACCTCACTATTATTTTTGCTCATACTTGTGTTAGTCATTTGAACAAAGTCTTGACCCCAAGTATTCAACTTTAACACGTTTTATCCTGCACCGTTTGTGCTACAGTCATGAATGATGCCTCAAATCATGTGGCTTTTTGAGTAGTCGTGCCAATTCAATATTTTAAATATGACTGAATCAATATGTATATATGAAGGATTAAACGGGAACAAATTACAAATGCTTAATATAAAGTTATAAGCCTGACAATGTAATGTGTATGTTAATGTATGTGTATTTTCAGAATTATATGATGTACATGAATATGTATATATTTTCAGACTTATAATTTATGGATGGATAGATAGATAAAATAAATGCATGCACACTTTTAATTATTTAATTTCTAGTTTTTAACGACTATTTTATTTGGAAATAAGAAATTTCTGTAAAAAAAAAATAAAAATTAATAAATATAAATATATATACAGTGGGTACGGAAAGTATTCAGACCCCCTTAAATTTTTCACTCTTTGTTATATTGCAGCCATTTGCTAAAATCATTTAAGTTAATTTTTGTTCCTCATTAATGTACACACAGCACCCCATATTGACAGAAAAACACAGAATTGTTGACATTTTTGCAAATTTATTAAAAAAGAAAAACTGAAAAATGCTCAGTATTTAGTAGAAGCACCCATTTGATCTAATACAGCCATGAGTCTTTTTGGGAAAGATCCAACAAGTTTTTCACACCTGGATTTGGCGATCCTCTGCCATTCCTCCTTGCAGATCCTCTCCAGTTCTGTCAGGTTGGACGGTAAACGTTGGTGGACAGCCATTTTTAGGTCTCTCCAGAGATGCTCAATTGGGTTTAAGTCAGGGATCTGGCTGGGCCATTCAAGAACAGTCACAGAGTCGTTGTGAAGCCACTCCTTCGTTATTTTAGCTGTGTGCTTAGGGTCATTGTCTTGTTGGAAGGTAAACCTTAGTTCCAGTCTGAGGTCCTGAGCACTCTGGAGAAGGTTTTCGCCCAGGATATCCCTGTACTTGGCCGCATTCATCTTTCCCTCGATTGCAACCAGTCGTCCTGTCCCTGCAGCTGAAAAACACCCCCACAGCATGATGCTGCCACCACCATGCTTCACTGTTGGGACTGTATTGGACAGGTGCCTGGTTTTCTCCACACATACCACTTAGAATTAAGGCCAAAAAGTTCTATCTTGGTCTCATCAGACCAGAGAATCTTATTTCTCACCATCTTGGAGTCCTTCAGGTGTTTTTTTAGCAAACTCCATGCGGGCTTTCATGTGTCTTGAACTGAGGAGAGGCTTCCGTCGGGCCACTCTGCCATAAAGCCCCGACTGGTGGAGGGCTGCAGTGATGGTTGACTTTCTACAACTTTCTCCCATCTCCCGACTGCATCTCTGGAGCTCAGCCACAGTGATCTTTGGGTTCTTCTTTACCTCTCTCACCAAGGCTCTTCTCCCCCGATAGCTCAGTTTGGCCAGACGGCCAGCTCTAGGAAGGGTTCTGGTCATCCCAAACGTCTTCCATTTAAGGATTATGGAGGCCACTGTGCTCTTAGGAACCTTAAGTGCAACAGAAATTTTTTTGTAACCTTGGCCAGATCTGTGCCTTGCCACAATTCTGTCTCTGAGCTCTTCAGGCAATTCCTTTGACCTCATGATTCTCATTTGCTCTGACATGCACTGTGAGCTGTAAGGTCTTATATAGACAGGTGTGTGGCTTTCCTAATCAAGTCCAATCAGTATAATCAAACACAGCTGGACTCAAATGAAGGTGTAGAACCATCTCAAGGATGATCAGAACAAATGGACAGCACCTGAGTTAAATATATGAGTGTCACAGCAAAGGGTCTGAATACTTAGGACCATGTGATATTTCAGTTTTTCTTTTTTAATAAATCTGCAAAAATGTCAACAAATCTGTGTTTTTCTGTCAATATGGGGTGCTATGTGTACATTAATGAGGAAAAAAAATTAACTTAAATGATTTTAGCAAATGGCTGCAATACAACAAAGAGTGAAAAATTTAAGGGGGTCTGAATACTTTCCGTACCCACTGTAACCTCTAAATATGGTGGTTTTTTTCTGGCGGTATTTTGTGATTTATGGAGCGATTAAAAGAGAGATCCCCTCAGTAAAAGCCTTTAACTCTAATATGTAAAAAAAAAATTGGACCAGGCTTTATGCAATGTTCAGTTTATTATTCTGGAAATATATGCAAATGAGTGCATATTTAATTAGATAATGCAACGTTTGCATATGTGAACATAATGTTACAGAAAACTTAAAGGCTTCATTTGGCCAAAAAATTTAAATTGTCATCATTTCCTTACATCAAGTTGTTCCAAACCTGTATGAGTTTCTTTGTTCTGTTGTGCACAAAAGAAGATATTTTGAAGAATGTTAGACAGAATTGTGGCAAGGCACAGATCTGGCCAAGGTTACAGAAAAATTTCTGCTGCACTTAAGGTTCCTAAGAGCACAGTGGCCTCCATAATCCTTAAATGGAAGACGTTTGGGATGACCAGAACCCTTCCTAGAGCTGGCCGTCTGGCCAAACTGAGCTATCGGGGGAGAAGAGCCTTGGTGAGAGAGGTAAAGAAGAACCCAAAGATCACTGTGGCTGAGCTCCAGAGATGCAGTCGGGAGATGGGAGAAAGTTGTAGAAAGTCAACCATCACTGCAGCCCTCCACCAGTCGGGGCTTTATGGCAGAGTGGCCCGACGGAAGCCTCTCCTCAGTTCAAGACACATGAAAGCCCGCATGGAGTTTGCTAAAAAAACACCTGAAGGACTCCAAGATGGTGAGAAATAAGATTCTCTGGTCTGATGAGACCAAGATAGAACTTTTTGGCCTTAATTCTAAGCGGTGTGTGTGGAGAAAACCAGGCACTGCTCATCACCTGTCCCAACAGTGAAGCATGGTGGTGGCAGCATCATGCTGTGGGGGTGTTTTTCAGCTGCAGGGACAGGACGACTGGTTGCAATCGAGGGAAAGATGAATGCGGCCAAGTACAGGGATATCCTGGGCGAAAACCTTCTCCAGAGTGCTCAGGACCTCAGACTGGAACTAAGGTTTACCTTCCAACAAGACAATGACCCTAAGCACACAGCTAAAATAACGAAGGAGTGGCTTCACAACAACTCTGTGACTGTTCTTGAATGGCCCAGCCAGAGCCCTGACTTAAACCCAATTGAGCATCTCTGGAGAGACCTAAAAATGGCTGTCCACCAACGTTTACCATCCAACCTGATAGAACTGGAGAGGATCTGCAAGGAGGAATGGCAGAGGATCCCCAAATCCATGTGTGAAAAACTTGTTGCATCTTTCCCAAAGACTCATGGCTGTATTAGATCAAGAGGGTGCTTCTACTAAATACTGAGCATTTTTCAGTTTTTCTTTTTTAATAAATCTGCAAAGATGTCAACAATTCTGTGTTTTTCTGTCAATATGGGGTGCTGTGTGTACATTAATGAGGAAAAAAAATTAACTTAAATGATTTTAGCAAATGGCTGCAATATAACAAAGAGTGAAAAATTTAAGGGGGTCTGAATACTTTCCGTACCCACTGTATATATATACAAACACACACACATCAGGATAATAATAATGCATTTTATTTATCATGCACTTTTCTTAACCCAAAGCGCTACAACAACAAGCATAATAGTATGCAACAATAAGCAACACAAAAAAGAAACCATATAAAACAAACTCAATTACAGTAAGCAGTTTTAAAAAGATGAGTCTTTAAAGATTTCTTAAAACAGTTCAAGGTTGGAGAATCTCTAATTCCTGCTGGTAGAGCATTCCACAGTCGTGGAGCTGAGACAGAGAAAGCTCTACGACCCATTGAGTTTAATTTATATGCAGGCTGCTGAAGGATACACGACCTAGCAGAGCGCAAAGGAATAAATAAATAAAGCCTAAATGTATTAGTAACTATTAGACTTATATGAATTAGAAGTGTTAATCTGAAAATATAGATTTAATGTGTATAATGTATATAATATTTATTTAATAATGTATATAAATGTAATATTAAATACTGGTGTGTGTGTGTGTGTGTGTGTGTATACACATATAGATATACATACATACACTAATTAATATTTAATGCAGTTAAAACATTTTTGAAATGATAATATGAAGGTAGTTGTATATAAAATTTAACTGAATCGTTCTGAATGTGTGCAAGTATCACTTCTAAATCAAATCAGTGAAACATGAATTGAATCGATTTGCTATCAACATAAAGATTCACACCTCTGAATTACATAGCAACGCCCCAGTGCACACTCTAGCATCATGATATGAATTTCTTTAGAAAATCTAGTTTTGGTTATTAAATCGCTGAGTGTTTTGCCAACACTGTTTCCTGAATACAAACCTTGTTGCAGTAATTACTTTCAGAACTGATCAATAGCATCACAAGAAGTCAATTCTAATCAAATCCAGGACCTGTTCCTCTCCATGTAAGGTATACATTCACATTATGCCACTGAATTTAATCCAACACCTTCCTGTTTGATTGATTATCACTAACTCTGTCGACAGAATGATTATTTCTATCAAAGAGCCGATTATTCAGTTGAGTTCCGGTTTGTGAATCCACAGTGTAGAGAAACACCCATAAAAAAAGGGGAAAAAGAATGAGAGAGAGAGACATAGTTGGATCTAAGAGTGCCGGGATCACTCAGCTAATGACCTGACACATATCGACAGCGCTCCAGGATTCACTTTGTTCCCCTCTATCACCGAGTCTCAATAATTCATGCAGCCACGCGGGACCCGAGCAGCCGCAGAAAGGTGAAACTCGTTAGGACAGACGGCTGGATGCCGCGTTTAATTGGTCCGCGAATAGCGCAAGGCTGAGCTCCCGGTACCATACCTCAGTCGGACCCCAGTCTCTAAGTAGACCTCTATTACCTGCTGATTTCTGCCTAATTGCCTGCACACCTGTGCCAAAGTGACTTTTTGAAGTAATTTGATGTGGATTAGTGGTCACGGTGTCTGACGGAGGCGTGAGCGTTTGTTCTCTCGCCGCAGGTGGAGGAACGCCACGTGAACGTGTCGAACGAGTGCATAATTCTGCGGTAATTCTAATTGCGAGCTGATTTCATTCAAGGAGAAACAGTATGAGTGCCCTCAGCCAATCAAAAGCCCTCATTATGACCCACTAAAGCCGGCAGGGTCGTTAGATTGAAGGGCCTGGCGCTCAACCCATTCTAATAGTTTCTTTTGTCTATGTGTGTAGATTCTCGTGGGCGGCCTGGAATATTCTCCTGGAATGCTTCACATCTATTCCGACAGCACTCTCACGCTGCCTGCCATCATCGGGATCGGAGCCGGCGGCGGCGTCCTCCTCATCGCCATCATCGCCGTACTCATCGCCTACAAGCGCAAGACGCGGGACGCCGACCGCACGCTCAAACGCCTACAGTTGCAGATGGACAATCTGGAGTCCCGTGTCGCGCTGGAGTGCAAGGAAGGTAAGATTTGGGGGTAGTTCAGCATCTGTGGCGCATATGGCCCATGCCAAGCTGTTTCAGACAGGTGTGGAGAGTGTTTTAATGAGCTACTAATGGTTTTAACCCGTAGGATAAATCAAACGGAGCTGTGATGTATTATTTTATTGTGCGCTTGGTCTCCCGTGGGCGCCGAACGGGAGCGAGTCGGATGCGTTCTCGCACTGCAGTAGCCTGGATTCTTGCAGAGTTTGACGCAGTCTTTGTGGAGGGATTGAACTGGGTCATGACGTCATAATGTCCTCATCCTTTGATACCGGTTTTATTCACGGCTTTAAAAGGATCTGTAGCTCAGGCAGACACGGTGCTGTGTTATTTATGCATTTGTTAAAAGAATGCCATGAGATACTGGAATGAATGCAACTTTCTGTTTATGCGATTTTATAGTTTTTTCATTTCTGTGTCTTTTGTCAGTGGGCATAGTTTCCCAGAGACTGAAACTGTTTGCATTCATTCCAGAAGTGCTGTCATTTATATGTACTGTATAGAGAGAGAGAGCGAAAGCAATTTTGATCAATGTAGGATGCATTAACTTGATCAAAAGTGTCAATAAAGACGTTTATAATGTTATAAAAGATTTCCATTTCAAACAAATACTTTTATTTTAAACTATGCTAATCAAAGAATCCTGAAAAAAGTATCACTATTTCCACAAAAATATTAAGCAGCACAACTGTTTTCGATATTGATTGTTGCAAAGGAAACCAATTAAATTAAAATCATGTTTAGTTGATTAAAACTCCCTAATATATTTCAGTGTTTCTATCTCATTAAGTTTCTAAATTTCATGAAGATGCGAAATGGAAATGACACAAAATAACCATTTCTTACCATATTGTAGCTAATGCCAGTAATCTCAAAATATGGTGAAATATCCCCCTAGTATATCTGTCTGTCACAGCATATGAGGTGTTCTTCAGTCTGATGGATGCGTATCTCTTCTGTTCTTTATTACTCTCAGCATTCGCTGAGCTGCAGACAGACATCCAAGAGCTGACAAACGACATGGACGGTGTGAAAATCCCTTTCCTGGAGTATCGTACCTACACCATGAGAGTGATGTTCCCTGGCATCGAAGAACACCCGGTTCTAAAGGAGCTGGACGTAAGGGAACTTTTAAAATCTCCTGGTTTGATTTCTCTGTCACCAGGTGTCATCTGTCACTCGCAAGTGCCAATAATTAGGTTGCCACAACTCATAGACCATATTCTTTTAATCCTCCTGCCAAAAAAGAAAGCAGAAAAAACCCTAGATGTGCTTTAAAAAGATCCCCTAAACTCTGAAGCTACGGTACTGCTGTCTCAGTAGTGAGCTTCAGAGTGAACGCCTCTCTTTCAGCATGCTTTTTAATTAAAACCTCAGGCTGAATGAAATCAGCAGCCCTGCAAGGCCCTGGTGGAATAGCCGTCTAGAGACGTGCCTTACCAAAAAATGTTTTGAAAATAGTCAGCAAAGAACAATTAAATCTCACCGCAGCAGAGCTTTTTTTTCCAAGTATGCATTCAGGCAACAATTGTTGTTGCGCATGTTTCTGTCATCTCCTTCCTGTCTGGCTTTTCCATTCGTGTTTTTGTTCTCCTGCTTTTTCTTTCGTTTAATCAAATGTTCCCTCTCCTCTTAGTCTCCGGCTAATGTGGAGAAGGCCCTGCGCTTGTTCAGTCAACTGCTGCACAACAAGATGTTCCTGCTGACCTTCATCCACACGCTGGAGGCTCAAAGGTCCTTCTCCATGCGGGATCGCGGCAATGTGGCCTCCCTCCTCATGGCGGCACTGCAGGGACGGATGGAGTATGCCACTGTGGTTCTCAAACAGCTTCTTGCTGACCTGATCGAAAAGAACCTGGAGAACCGTAACCATCCCAAACTACTGCTTAGACGGTAAGAGATGGTAATTGTGGAGCATGACAATTCCTCCAGTGTTACTATATGATTTATCACCACACTTGTTAAAAATGAGCAAGGACCTAGCAACCCCCAGAACATACTGCATAACAACATCCTAGAAAACAACCAGAACACCTCAGCAACTACATAGCAATGCCCTAGAAACCCCCAAAACACTTTAGCAACTACATAACACTACCCTAGCAACACCCCAGAACATCTCAGCTACTGCAGAACAATGCCCTAGCAAACACCCAGAATGCCTTAGCAACTCCCCAGAACACCTTAGCAACTGCATAGCAATGCCCTGGAAACCACTCAGAATACCTTACAACACTACATTACCACATAGCAGCATGCAAAAAACACCCTAAATACTGCACCCTAGACACCCTAGCAACCACCCAGAATGCCTTAGCAACTGCATAGCAATGCCCTGGAAATCATTCAGAATACCTTACAACACTACATTACCACATAGCAGCATGCAAAAGACACCCTAAACAAAATACACACTAAATACTGCACCCTAAACATCCTAGCAACCACCCAGAATGCCTTAGCAACTGCATAGCAATGCCCTGGAAATCACTCAGAATACCTTACACTACTACATTACCACATAGCAGCATGAAAAAAACACCCTAAACAAAATACACCCAAAATACTGCATAGCAACACCCTAGCAACCACCCAGAATGCCTTAGCAACCACCGAAAACATCTCAGTAACCACATAGCAACATGCTAAAAACCACTCAGAACATTTTAGCAGCAACCTAGCAATGCCCTAGCAACCCCCAGAACACCTTACAACATTATGCAACCGCACAGCAGCATGCAAAAAAAACATGCAGACAACCTTATCAACTGTACAGAAAGGCTCTAGCAACCACCCAGAACGCCTTAAAGGGTTAGTTCGCCCAAAAATGAAAATTAGGCTGTGTTTTAGCTTGCGCCAATAGTTAATAGCAGCTCCGGGAGCAATGAAGTATGAGGTCAGCGTTGCGCATGGTGAGTCTCGTGAAAACCAACATTTGTTAACAGGAGCAAAGGATGTACAACAGTGAGCGCAAGCTAGATTAAATTAAAATAAAAAACAACCAGCCAGCATTGCAACCACGCAAAACACTTTAGCAACCACTTAGCAACATGCTAAAAACCACTCAGAACACATTAACATCCACCTAGCAATACCATAGCAACTGTTCAGAACACACAACATAATAATCACTCATGAATTGCGTTTGTTTTTGCAGAACTGAGTCTGTGGCTGAGAAGATGCTCACTAACTGGTTCACGTTCCTCCTGCACCGCTTCCTCAAGGTTTGTGATGTGTTTTCTAACAAAAACATTCAGTCAGTTTTAATAACATGCTATGCAAAGTCCTACGTGAAATTGAGCAACAGTCTCAAACTGCTCTCTGGCTAACTAGCATCTTGTTTGCAAGAAGATTTTGGCGCGCTGACGTTTTTGACGGCCTGACTCATCGCAAAGCCTGCTAATAAATCTCGCTAAAGCCTACCCTCCAGATAGCGACTCAGGAAATGCCGCGACTTCCGCCCAACCCTGAAATCAGCTGCGTGGAGGGCACTCGCTCAATCCCACATCCTGTCAGGTGTTCCAGAGTTCACCAAGACGACCCAAACGCCGCTGAATTAGGCTGAAGCAGATTGAGATGGCTATTAGCGCTAAGGGCGGGAACATCAGGCCCTTTGTGCATTCAAGGCTGCAACTGCCCTACGGAATGTAGCTCTGGCCGGCCGCCCAGTGTCTTTACGTCCCATCAGTGCAGATGTTAAAGTGTTTTGGCCACCATACAGGCCTTTAGGAGTAATTACCATGAAATGCCTTCTCGGTACGGCTCTGTTGCCCTGCCTGGGTGTGTACTTGTAATTTCATATTTATCATGAGCCAAAGCATTCAGTATGTTTATATCTGTTGTACATTTATGTCGTGTACATCATCTTATTAACAAGCATTTAACGTTACATTCATATAGAACATATACTCAGTGAACATTCTCAGAACTTTCTGGCAAGGTTCTCTCAAAGCTTTGAACAAATGTTCTTCCAGTAACCTTAATAGAATTTTCATTCAAAGTTATGCAGCTTTCAATAACGTTCTCGTAACATTATCAAAAATTGTATACATTGTTCATGGAACGTCTTCTAGTTGGACATTCTTCTAGCATTTTATTAAATGCTGCTACTTGTTTCAGAACATTCAGAGAATATCGAAAAGTAAGATTCCCTTGATTTTTGCAAAATGATTAAATGGAACATTCCTTTAGTGTTTTAATTAACGTTAGCATAACCCAAAAAAAAGTATAAAAACTGAGCATTTCAAACTTTCAGAGAACATTCAGAAATAACATTTTCATAACTTAATGGGAACGTTAGCCAAATGTTCTTAGAACATATTTTTGTTATCAGAGAAAAACAATCAAGAATTAATTTATCTAGAAATTAGATGTCATTATTTACTTATCCTCATGTCATACCAATCCTAAATGTAAAATAAAATAAATGTAGAACATAAAATTAAATGAAATATAATATGAAATATGTGATTTTTACAGTAGGATCAGATAAAGCATATATCATGTCTGAATCCATATTTTACAATGTTCCTTGCTGTAAAAAAAAAAACTGCTGAATACAGCCTAGGCTAGCTACAGATTGGTTAGATCGGTGGTCTCAAACTCAATTCCTGGAGGGTCACAGCTCTGCAGAGTTTAGCTCCAACCAGCTCCAAATCAAACCTGCTTGGAAGTTTCTAATAATCCTGAAGACCTTGATTAGCTGGATCAGGTGTGTTTGATTAGGGTTGGAGCTAAACTGTGCAGAGCTGTGGACTTCCAGGAATAGAGTTTGAGACCAATGGGTTAGATCAGTGGTTCCCAACCCTGTGTCCTGGAGGCACCCCAACACTGCACATTTTGCATGTCTCCTTTCTCTGACACACCAATTTCAGGTCTTGGAGTCTCTACTAATGAGCTGATGATCTGGATCAGGTGTGTTTGATTAAGGAGACATGCAAAACATGCAGTGTTGAGGTGCCTCCAGGACCAGGGTTGGGAACCACTGGGTTAGATTTTAAAACCACCTTAAACCAGCCTAGACCAGCAAACTGTAGCTTAAATGGTATTTCCAGTAGAGTTGGGTGACACATTTTAGTTGTGTATAGTCTTCTGGTCTAGTATTATGGCTATTTTATTTTATTTTTTTATTTGATTGTTTTGGGGCTTAACAGTCCATTTTCACTATATGCTTTCATTCTGTAAGTTCACTTTTAGATTTTACGAAAGAAAGTCGTGCAGGTTTAGAACGAAATGAGGGTGTGTAAATGATGATAGAATTTTCATTTTGTGGTGACTAATGCTGCGTTCACGCCATATCGTAATTTCGAGATGACAGCACGTGACGTTCTACTCGGAGCTGTTCACGTCCTCGGACTCGGAATTATGCTTTTTTTGGCAACACGATCAACGCTTAAACAGAGCCTGCGGTGGTCAGGTGGTACAGCGGTCAGTTGATACAAGTCGTAGCTCTCAGAAAACTCCCAGTTCACAAGTTGTAATTACGAGTTCTACGAGGACGTGAACGCTTTTTACAAGTTGGAATCTCGTAATTACGGGAATTCCGATATGGCGTGAACACACCTTTAATCCTACAAGGGTAACATAAATATTTGTTAACAGATATTTAGGGCTTTTTCTTGTGCTGTCAGTTCATGCCATCTGCATTTACACTGCATACGTTAAACCGTGTGAATTTGACGTTCAAACGTGTCCGTTAGCGATCGAAACCTGGCGCAGATCCCGTGACACACATCTGTTGTGTCATAACAGGGTCTAACGGCCAGACTATGAATAGCAGACGGAGCCAGAACGCCGGCAGCCTCTAAAAGCAATAGAAAGATGAGGATTTGATGTATATATTAAGACTAAATGCATGTGACATAGAGTTCGGAGGCTGGTTGTTTAGAATTACTTGCAGTTAGGCGTGCAATGGATGCTGGGTAACCCTCTCCGCCTGCGTTAGAAGAGTGTGATTCAGGATGTCATGCTGTAATTAATAATGTCAAGCTGATCTTGCCTAAGAACTAAATAATAGCCTCCCCTCCGTATCGCTGTTTAGTCATCAAACGCTTTTAAGTGGGTAATTGGAGACTTCTCCAAACTTCACAAATGCCATCTGAAAAGAACTGTGATCGGACGTGTGTCTCTCATTCTCACGGCCGCGCTTTCTTTCTCTGCACGCTCGCTGCCTTGTTTCTCCGTTTCGCTTCCTTTTGGTCAGAACATGTCTTTTCTCTTTCCTTTCATTGCTTCTTGCTCTGTATTTAAAGGCGCAATTAGGCGTTTTCGAAGTGTGTGAAAATTACAGCTCGTGATTTTATTGAATTGATGTTCTGTGGTATTTTGCGCAGGAAGTCGTCTTGAGTTCTTCAGCGTGTTCTTTAAAGGTAAAAGGTTTTAAAGGAGACATGTAATGGAAAACATGATTTCCTTGCTCTTTTGGAAATAAAAGCGCTGAGGTTCTACATAGACGTACTAAAATGTTCACAACGCAAAGCTTCTGATTATGAGACGTAAACACTATTTTGTATAGGATTTGTTTTCTTTTCAATGTTTTTATTTTAATTATTAACATTGGATGTCTGTGTTTTCGTATAGTGATTTTAATGGGTTTGGGATCTCTAGTGTTTACGTGTACATTACTGTTCAATAGTTTGGTGTTGGTGAGATGCAAAGCTGAACCACTCCAGCCTTCAGTGTCACATGATCTTTCAGAAATCATTTTAATATGCTGATTTGCTGCTCAAGAAACCTTTCTAATTATTAACAATGTTGAAATTTTAATATTTGATAATACAAATATTTATTATTAGTTTTTTTCAGTATTCTTTGAATAGAATAAATATCATTTTAAATGCAAATTTTATTGCACCAATGTAGTCTTCACTGTCACTTTTTTATCAATTTAATGTGCCCTTGCTGACAAAAAGGTAAACATTTCTTTCAAAAAAAAAAAAAACTTTTTAAAACTTTTGAACAGTAGTATATATATTGACTTTATTTCTGCTTCATGAAACTCAAAGAAATAGTTACTTAGTTAATTAGCTCAGTATTTTTATGGATGTTGTGTGAGTATGCATTAACCAGAATGGATTGCTTAGCCAATCGTAACAGATATTTGTATTTATATAGAGGTCTTAAAGGTACAGTAGCAAAAAACAGCCTGTTAAATTCTGTGGGTCAGTGAGAAGGTGGAAAATAAACATATGAAACTTTGTTGCAAGAAACCTTGACTAACATTATAAGTGGACTTTAGGGAGAAAATAAAATGCTTCAGAAGTGTAGAATATGACCTCTCTCTCTCTCTCTCTCTCTCTGTGCAGGAGTGTGCTGGCGAGCCTCTGTTTATGCTCTACTGTGCTATAAAACAGCAGATGGAAAAAGGTCCCATAGACGCCATCACAGGAGAGGCCAGATACTCCCTGAGCGAAGACAAGCTCATCCGACAGCAAATCGACTACAAGCAGCTGGTCAGTGTTCCCGTGGTGACGCTCTCTCACGTATCCCATAATCCCTCTTCCTGTCTCCCAGCACTCCCTGCCTCATTGAAGACCACAAGTGTTTGACTTCAGCTCAAATATACGTTTGAAAAGTACCAAAACACTACAAAAGTTTTACGTTTCAGATGCTTCCAGCTAGAAATGATATCTATTAATACTAATACCACCAGTGTTGTTTTAGGGTACTATTATAATTTTGTTCATATTTTGAAGTTGATTTAATTTTTGTGTTTTCTTCTCTTTAGTTTTAGGACTTATGTTTTGTGTTTTTGTCATTTTTATTATCTGTGTTTATATGTGTGTATACTCTTAATTACTTTGTATTCATTAGTCTTAGTTTTAGTTATTTTAGTACAAGTTAAACTAAAATTAGATATTTCTTTGGCAACTAGCTGAAATAATATAAGTTTATTTAAATGTTTATTATTTCAGTTCATGTTTATTTAATTCAAGTAACAAAAACAAACATTTTTTTATGGTTTTAATTTTAACCCTGACTAATACTTAATTTAATATTACTAATATACGCTTTACAAGGTCTTTTCACACCAAGTCCAAGTTTTTGGTATGAATAACATGTGCGACAATTGTAATATGAATCAAATGCATTTGTATGAAATATCATACTGCAATATTACATCCGTTTTTTTATTTTAAAGGCTTTGTCATCATGTCAATAGCTGTCATGCTTATATTTAATATTTTATGACAGTATTCTGCCTGCATTTGTAAGATCAATGCAAGATCCAGTATCTGTTTTTTTTTTCTGGTTCTGATTAAGATCCGGTTCTTAATTCTGAATCCTAGTGGTCATTAGTGTCCCATCGGCCTTAAAACTGACTCGAGAGCTCAAATGTCAATCAGACAGATGATATCAGGCCAAGCATGACTTTCAGAGCGGGGTTTGTCAGAGGTGGCAAAACAGGGACAGAAGTCAATTGAGAAAAAACAAAGAACGACCTGATCAGAGCCTGTAATGACTGAAACAAATCTGAGAATTTATCATGGCACTCATAAAACAACCCCAATGCTCCTCTGAGCAGACAGCCAGGGAATACAGTGGCTGATTTACACTGTCTCTCTCGCATGCACAAACATGACTACACAATAGAGCATATTTACTGTCTGCACCAACAGAGTTCTGTGCATTGATTTTAAATGGAACAATACGAGCCGACCAATGAATGAGCTTTAATCTATGGCTCCTCAGTGGTAGTTAAAGCTATAGAACAGCTCATCAATTCCACAGTATTCAGGATAGATCAGCTTAGGGGAATTGATATGTGGCACAGTTATTCAGCTGTCTTAGCTGTCAACCCTAAAGAGAGGACGCTAGGGGCCGTCAGAAAAGGTCAGGCTCACCTGTAACACAGCATGTATGTTGATGTATTCATTAGGAGTGTAAATATTTGCCCTTGTTTCGATTCTTTGTTAAAAAATGCGACACGTCATGAATTATAAATTAGATTGTTCCAGTTCTGAATGCTGATTGGTCAGTTCAGCTTTGCATATTAGATATTTAATTGTGCATGTTCATTTATGCCATATTATTACATTTAGATTGTCTTTGCCATCTCTAGCACAGTTTTACTGGCTAAATTCATGTGTAGTATTTAAAACTATTTGTCAAAATAATTTAAATTCAATTTTTTTAAGCTAAATCACATAGAATATTAATAATAGTAATAGTAATGATAATAACTATTATTATATTTATTATTATATATTTTATAATATTATATATTATGACATTTACATTTAGTCATTTATTATTATTATATCTTAATATGTAATAAGACAATAAATATAATAATAATAATAATATAATAAGATATCATTATTCTAATTTATACAATAAGAATTAGTAGTAGTAGTATTTACATACTAATAAAGAATTGGTGGCATCATAGTATATATGTGATATGTAATATATATTATAATCATATATCAATATATATTATATAATAATAATAATCATGATAATAATAATATTTATTTAGGTATCAGCCAGAATTTTAATATTGGTGCCACCACAGTAGTTATGTTATTATTATTGTATATAAATGTTATTAATTTATACTATATATAATTCTATATTATATGATAATAATAGTAATAATGTAACAATGTAATCAATTTTCAATGGCAGATTGAAAGGGGCATCAGTCAATCAATTTTTATATCCCTAATGTTCATTTAAATGTTGATAGTTGATAAAATGAAGATGATTTATACATAAGATATTTCAAAACTACTCTTGTACTCTATGTACTCTTCCTTTAAGCATTAAACATCTCAGTTGTGCCAGGAAGTCTGCCTGTGGGTGTGTGAACACGTGCTAAAGGACACACTAAAGTCACCTTTACACACTCTCATCTTCACACACTCTCACACACACACAGCCAGAGACGAGAACTGATCTTTATGGTGTTAAACTTTCGTAAAACCCTCATTTCCTCCAAGCTCTGAGTTTCAACCCAATCCAGCTCCTAAACCGACGCCGGATGTCCTAAATATAGCTGGGCTCCGTCTCCGAGAGAATTCCGTAATTTACTGTGTAATTGGGTTTTAGTCACAAACTCCTCGCGTGTGAGCCGCGGCTGGAGGGGAGGAATTGCCATGAGCTAATGATCAGCGAGTAGCCGCGATTACGGATGCACAGTCGCGCACCAGTGCCAGCTGCATTGTTTTAATCACACGATTAACGCGGCCCATGCGCACAAAAGGTCTTCTCATGAATTTATATGGACTGTTGTCACGGTGTGAATGGAGATATATCAAAGCATCGGCTTCATAATAAACGCTCGGCTCTTTAATGTAACTCGCCTGTCTATTTATGAAGCTGTTATTTGTATGTGTTACTCGCTCGGTAAGTGCTGAGGGCTGTTTTTTTTATGATTTTGCTTATGCTACTGGCTGCATAAATGAGCTGATGCACACATTCTACAGCTTGTCTTGTTTATTTTATCAATGCTATATGGCTGCATGACGGTTTTATAGCTTTATGAAGGCTTTACCATAGTAACTATGGCAAAAAATTATGTACAGTACATTCATACAGTAAAAGATTCATTCATAAACTGACAGAAGTATTAAATGTACCATGTTACTACGTTTTATTTGGACATGGCACCATGGTTTGTTTTTGTTTTATGATTAATCGCATGATTTTTGACCAGCGTTGAACAGTAATAATGTCAAATTCTGTGCATTTAAACTTATTTATTCATTAATTTATTTACTTTTTTTCTCTGAAATTTCTGCTGAACAGTTCCTCGTCTGTCATTGGTCAGTCAAACAAATAGTCCCGCCCCCAAAGTCACGCCATTGGTTAAGTCAGTGTTGCTGTGTTTGTCATAATACTATAATTAAACAGATCAATATTTTGTTAGCACTTGAAACATTAATAATGTCAAATTCTGTCAATTTTAACTAGTTCGTTCATTCACTTTTTTCTCTGAAATTTCTGCTGAACACTTCCTCGTCTGTCATTGGTCAGTCAAACAAATAGTCCCGCCCCCAAAGTCACACCATTGGTTGAGTCAGTGTTGTTGTGTTCGTCATAATACTATAAACAAACAGATCAAAACTTTGTTAGGACTTGAAACTGTAATAATGTCAAATTCTGTGAATTTTAACTTACTTGTTCATACATTTACTTTTTTTCTATGAAATTTCTGCTGAACACTTCTTCGTCTGTCATTGGTCAAACAATTTTCAAACAAATAGACCCGCCCCAAAGTCATGCCATTGGTTGAGTCAATGTTGCTATGTTTTCATGATGTTAAAAACAAACAGATTAACATTTTGTTATTTGATGCTGCTAAAAATAACATTATGTTGTGTATTTGGTGTAATGAAATGTGTTTATGCGGTTTAAGGTTCAAAAAACACATTATTTTCCACATACTTTACATTATTGTTTCTCCTTTATGCCCCGCCTTACTGAAACACGTCGATTTTTACAAAGCTCATCGGTCTGAAAAAGAAAGGTGAGCTCTGATTGGCCAGCTATCCAGTGCGTTGTGATTGGCAGAATACCTCAAGCGTGAGACGGAAATGTTACTCCCCTTACCATATTGTGATGATGCCCTGTCAGGCCGGAGCGATGATTCAAAAACATGAAAACCCATTATAAACTAGGCATTCGTTGCATCCAGTGGGGACATAATTATGGATTATAATGGCTTAATGTATAATGTCTTTTTACGCATTGCGTTGCATCGCGCCGCGTAAACATGTTAATAATGTCAAATTCTGTACATTTTAACTTGTTTGTTCATTCATTTACTTTTTCCCCTAAGATTTGCTGAACATTGCTTTGTCTGTCATTGGTCTGTCAAACAAATAGTCCTGCCCCCAAAGTCATGCCATTGGTTGACTCAATGTTGCTGTGTTGGTTAGGCTGCTAAAAACAAACAGATCAATATTTTGTTAGCACAGCAGAGAAGATGTTTACACTATTCTGGGGAATAAACCTATAAATGTCTTTCTTATGGTTGTCTCTGCATATTAAACATCAAAAATATTACACACTTCAGCATAAAGTATCTTTTACCTTCAGACATGTCATATGAATCCTAGTTTGTGGCCGGATCAATCACCTCTTGCCGTTTGTTTTTATCGATCTGTGACCGTTTTATCAAAACCTGCGTGTTTCACATATTCTGAATACCGCTTTGCAGGCGGATAAATATTTCACCATTGACATAACAGTTAAAGCTAAGATGGCTATTATGATAAATCAGGCCGAGGCATGAAACCAGATCCCGATCAATCTTTGATATGCTGGCAGAGCCGGGCCAAATAGAGCTCCAGTCTCCCGCTGTGTATAATAAAATGTGCCTTGACCTTTCCGCACCCTCTTAAGTCCATGTGTATGTTAGTGTGTGTGGTCTGCATACTAGATTTTAATGGAGACGTGTTTTTGTGTCTTTGCTGGTCATCTTGTTGATCAATATTGTCATGTTTTCTATTGTTGCTAATGTTATCCCGAATCTCTGGAAACGGCCGGAGGGCTAGAGTGAGCAGAGGCGGCGGATTTGACAAAGGAGCGTCCGCCGGGCTTCCGGCAACCACATGTGACGACCCCGGGCTGGACTCCGCTTCGTCCACGGTGAAAGCCGATCCGGCGATCCACAGC